ATGATGGTGAATGCTTCAATTTTATCCAAGGGAAATTGGTGTTTTCACCTCTTTATTTAGCGAACTTTTTGGATTCAGTTGCGCGCCAGGTGAGGCATCAGTCCGAGAAGATGAGGTGTGGATCTACCGACAGGATCCCCAATGGTGTTCAGAGGGCTTGTGTTTTCGATTTTGAGAGACAACAATATAACATGGATAGATAAACATATAGATTAAACTGTATCAATATAAGTGTATAATGGATAATATTTTAGCATATAGATAATAGATAAACATTATGAATATTATAAACATATAGATTAAACTGTATAAGTATGTATATATATATATACACTTATACACTTATATAGTATGTACTTAACCAATCTGACACGTTGTGTAGATCCTGACCGGATCTCACGATCCGACACGTTGGGAAAGGACGCCAGCTGGAAGGTGCCATGGATGGATGAACCAGGCACCATGGATGGATGTTTTTTTTTCTGCCTGGTGCTTTGGAACATGTGGATTAAATGATTAACTATGGTGACTATGATATTTCACGAACTAGTTAACTAGTTAATGGGGATTATAATGGCTTATAAACAGAACTAAACTACTGTTTGGTGGTTTGGAGCATTTTTATATGGGATAATGATGGTTAATGATGGTTAATAATGGTTAATAATCACTGATTGGTGGTTTGGAACATGACTTTGATTTTCCATAATATATCCCATATGCTCCATATATGGTATATTTACCTACATAACTTGTTGATTTTTGGGGCAAATGTTGGTAAATATTCCAGCACCATGGAGCATATGGGTATATGGGATGTCATCCTTCCCATTGACGAACTCATATTTTTCAAGATGGTTATTGCACCACCAACCAGATACTGTCAACCCTGGATTCGGTACTCCCCAAATAGTGATGATTTGCTACTTCAATGGGACCCCCCCCCCAAATTAATTAACAGCCATTAAGGGGGAAAAAAAAACATCCACGGTTGACATGACCCATGGTTGAGGATTCCCAGTCATGGGATGGATGACAACCATACAGATGTGCAAGTTCATCCTGAGTCAGAAGATGTCAAAGGGACATCTCAGGTTTGGTGTTTAAAACCCATGTTTTAAAGCCATGTTTTAAACGTTGGAAACACCAATGGTTGTTGGTTAAGCTTCTCATGTTTGTTGGACTATGTGACTATCAGAAATATGGGGCTTCATCGATGCTTCAGAGACCGCCTTCGATTCGGGGTGTGACAGGATCAGCTTTGAATTTGACAAGCGCGTGATGCCACTCCCAGTATCTCCCAGTTATGAGTTGGTGTATAACCCCATTAAAGCCCCATTAACTAGTTCGATAATATATACCATAAACCAACCATCTTCTTTAAATTGTTCAGCCAACTATCAGGCCCTTTGAACCATTCTGGCTGTTTGTGCCAGAAAATTGACGATCAAACCGGTCAAACGTTCATTTCCTACTGCTTCTACCCCAAGTTTTCCCATTGTCAGGACATGAACGTTCCAAATCTCCTGATATTTCCTGTGGATTCCCAATTTCCTGTGAGATCCCCATGTTCCTTGGATAAACTTGGAGAACTTGGATGCGTTAAACTTAACATTAAAGGCCTAAAGGATATGTTTTGCAACAGTAAACCCTATTCTTTTGCCACCGGTTTATGGGTATAGGATGTTTTGTTGGGTTTACTACATGAAGCCATTTTGGCTCAAGCTTTTGAAGAGACCTCAAGCTCGACTCGTTGTTCTCGAAGATGTCCGCCTCCGCCGACAGCTTGGACAACGTGAGTATTAGTAGTTTCGACGAAGAAGTCCAAGAGCAGCGCGCGGAGCGCGTGCGGCAGCTCTACCGTGAAGACCGTGAGAGAAAGGCGGAGGCAAGGGCGGCAGCAGCAGCCGCCAAGAAGGAGCAGGCTGCCGAGAAGAAAGCAGCTAAGGCGGCAGCCAAGGCGAAAGCGGCCGCTCAGGGAAAGGACGCGAAGGGCAAGAAAACTGCACAGGAGCGCCGCGCTGCCCCTCCTGTGTGGCGTAGGACGAAGGCGGCTGCGGGCGGGGCCAAAGCGGTTTGCAAGAGAGAAGAGCACCGCGAAGAGGGGTCCACAGTCGATGCAAGGTCGTACTGGGACCTCAATGGCCCTCTGGACAGTGTCCAAGGCCTCCAGCAAGAGCTGGACTTTAACACGCCGCTGGAGCGTCCGGTCGACCCGGACGAGTGGTCGGAGAAAAATAGGAAGCACGAGGGTTTGCAGCCAGTTTAGTATCCTAGTAGTGCATGTAGCGTGATCCTGTTAGATGGCTCAGAAGTGACACGGGCTGACAGGGGGCATTCCGCTCTGCAATCTTGCATCAGCTTAGAAGCGGGCTGCACGTTTTAGAACCCAAGCAATGAATGTAGTGTGATCCTGCTAGAAGTCTAGAAGGCTCCGAAGTGACATGGGCTGACATGGGGCATTCCTCATTCAAGAGATAACGGCTCTGCAATCCTGCATCAGCTTAGGAACGTGCAGCAAGTTTAGAACCCAAGCGATGCATGTGCTGTGATCCTGTTAGAAGGCTCAGAAGTGGCATGGGATGACATCGGTCTTCCTCTTCAGGTGGTGGTAGCTTGGAGTCCTGAATCAGCTTAGGAACGTGCAGGTTGAGTGTCCGCGCAACGGCTTGCGATTTATCTCTTACTTGGGCCCTTCCCTCTTAAACCATGACTGTGCTGCCTTGTGCTCAATTGTGACTTGGTATAATCTGTAACTTGGTGGTGCCAACTTTGCAAAGTCAGCAGTAAACAGACGGCCCTGTAGTTGTGACAGCTGTGCAGTCCAAGATCAACCAAGGAAGGTGCCATACATTCATTTTTCAAATCAGGTGCTGACAAGAATGTGATTTGTTTGTGACAGGTCCAATGTCTGCCCAGTCATTTTTCTGCAGTCCAATATCTGCCCAGAATATACTCTCGGTTTCCTACTGAATCACAACCGCAACCTAGACCACCTTGCAGCGCGCAACAAACAAGGGAACCTGAACCCTGCACCGAGCACATTTTGGACACTGTAGCGTGATTCAACTTGAGTTCCCTTGAAGTCTTGGCGGGATAGACTTGCCTGCACTTCTTTTGCCCTTTGATTCCTCGCTGGCGTTCTTTTGGTCCAAGAATGTTTTTTGCCATACTAGATCTACAACGTTCCCTTCCCCTTGTGCAAAGATGGACCCCGGCTTCCTCATGATGTGGCAGATGTTGCAAGTGCAGCACCAAGCTGCCTTGGGCTTGCAAGCAATGGCAACACCAACGGCTCAGGCTCAGGCTCACAGCTCAGATGGAATTTGAGTTGGGGACACCAGTATGCGCGACTCAGCCACACACAAGCATGGAGCTGAGCCTGGCTCAGCGTCGGGAACGCCTCCCCGGAAAACCCGATGCCACGATCGCAGTGAGCGTGATTCGCGAAGCCCTACACCTGAATTTTCCACACCACCTCCCCGCCGTCAATCTGAAACTGAGGCCCATTCTCAGCAACCGGCAACACCGTCACTTCCTGCGGAGGCACTCCCAAAGCCTTGCGACGTTTGCTGGCTATCACTTCATAGGATGAACCTGGCATGACACGAGAGAAGGCGGCGGCTACTGGGATGAACCACGGGGTTACTAGTGGCTAGTAGGGATTAGGGGGGTGTTAGTAACTTCTGATATTGTTTATTTTAGGACTTAGTCAGCACTTAGCTAATAAGTTTACACGCAAGTTACTGGGAGGTTAGCTAAATGGTTAGCTAGCTAACTAACTACCAGCAAACTACTTAGCTAAGTAGTTAGTTTGCCAGGAATGTCTTGATTTTGTTGGAAAGAAACATGCAATGTTGCATGGAGAAATAAGCAAAAAAAACGAGAAGCCTTGACACTTTCCATGCTGATTGCCATGCCAGATTTCAATCAGCATTTTCTTTGATGAAACATTTGTAAGTCTACCTACAGGTCAGCTTCCAAAGCTGCATGCATGATAATAAGAAGCTTTACACATGTGTATGCCAGCCTTGAAGGCTTGAAGCCACCCATGACATGTCATGTAAGTAATCGTATTGGCAATTCACATTATACAGATTTGAGCTTCTCATGCATGCATTTCCAAAAGCATGTGTGCTGGCATGGCATGCTGGAAGCTTGTCCACCATCAATTTGAACATGGCGGCAAACAAGCCCATTGTTCAAAGCAACTGCTTCCAAACAACTTGTGAAGCCAACATTGCTTTCAAAGCTTGGAAAGGCCCATGTGCACACTACATAGTTTTGGGTATGTGAAACTAGAAACATGGTAAACAAGCAAGCTGCAAAACTGGCACATGTTTTTGGTTCACATGAGCCATGTATGGTGTTGACTGAGCTGCGCAAGCTTGATCCATGTGATGCTTCATGGTATGCATGCATGGGTTTGGCAAGCAAGGACCACCATGGTGCACCCCAGCCAATTTTCACAGCATGTGATTCCTGAGGCTGGCACACCCAGTAGCTTGAGACATGTATTTGAAGTGGAACCAGCACCCTAAACTTCTTTCCCTCATAACTCATGTAAGGTGAGCAGCATGCCAAATCTTTTGTCGGAATGAATTCGGCATCATGTTTCTGCTCCACAGTAGCATACCAATGCAAGTCACAAATTACCAGCACATTCCACATGGATACAAGAGAGAACACCTGGCTGTTGACTTCCACATGCATCCAAACATTGCAAACTTGCAGCTGGTGCCCAGGTAGTTTTCTCAAGAAGGCAACATCACTGTCACCTTTTGTGCAGAAACCAGCTGGTTGCAAATATGCTTGGGAACAGCTGTGGACAATAGCATCTTCACCCAGCCCAAATGCTTCAATGACCAGTGCCTTGAGTGCATCAAGTTGCAGCACTCCCGATAAGAGTGGAAGCCAGTGCACTGTTCAACTTTGAGCTCAGTGCAAGTGCGGCCATGGGCTGGCCGGCAGTCACCAAAAAATTGAACTCTGCGCAATATGTAATTTTAAAAAACTCCTTGAAGGTGAAGGGGCTTCATTTGGGCAGGGAGGACGGCATCGCACAATGTTGGCACCCGGGATCCAGTCACGCCTCAGTACCAAGGTAGCAATACAGATAGTGTGTGCACACGCGCGCATTCTTTGTTTACCCCCCACCAGCCAGCTACAATCTGCTTTATTAGGGGCTAGAGCAGTCACAGGAAGGACATGGTTGGATTACGCACTACTCGTGGCACGCGCACTTGGCATCCATGAAGAATATGATTTTACACGGTGGCCGGGCGTATTTGTTTTTCTTCAACCAAACCACCAGGGACGAGGGACGCGATGACCAAGGCCGTACGGCTGTGGAAGCGGAACGTAGTGGAGCCTGCAGCCCGGCACCGCCCCAGTTTTTGTGGAGTTTGTCCAAAGAGGCATCACAGGAAGTGCTTGGAGTAATCGCTGGAGCCACCTGGTTAGAGGGAATTTGGCGCTATGCCAGGGCTTGGTTGGTTGGCCGGATCTGCGGGGGAATTTTGGCAGTCCTGATTGACGCGCAGGCTCCTTGAGTTTGGAGCACCTCTTGACAAATTGCCCGCGCATTCTCCACAAACTTGGGCACCCCCATGAGGAGATCAGCTGGCCCTGCATCTTAGAATCTTCTCCTCATGATGATTTGCTGGTTCGCCGGATTTCTCGAACTGGGCGATCTGTTGCTTTGCTTTGCCGATAAGGAAAAAGGTACTAGAGCCTTCCGGTTGACGGTAGTACAATAAGCACCGTTTCCCTTCGGCCCTCTGGGCACAGGAAAGGTGTTTTTGTTGTGCTACTTGCAGCAAGGGGCAACCTGACCCTACGGAGCCTGTCTTAACAACAAAGCTATATACAAAGCCTACAAAGCCTACATGATTCCATGACCAACATTTTCGCGTGGCCAGGTGAGTTAGCCATCACAGCAGAGGAACTCGCGGAACTGCGGCGCATTGCGGCCGAACGTCCCTTGCCGCGAAAAGAAACCAAGAGATCTGGAGATTTGTTCCCGGAAAAACATGGGGAGAAATTCGGGGCCTCCAAATTTCTGAAGTTTCCAAAGTTGGGATTGACGCTTGAAAACTGGGGATATGATGATATTTCATGGCCTGGTATTGCCTGGAGAAGCACTTGCTGTAGAATGTAGATATTGGATTGAGTGGAAAACATCTCATTTTGTAGGTTGTTGGGTGCAGTCATTGGTTTTCGCCATCAGCTACAGTGTGTTCGAAATCCATGAGTTTACAGTTCGAAGGTTTACACTAGTACAAGATAGTACAAGGTCCCCCCAGTTGTAAGTTGGATTATAAACCCATACAAATCCCATTAACTACTTCGATATGCAACTCATCCAAGTCATTGGACAATTTTAGTATTGAAAACCCCGTTGTTTTTGGGGATTTCCTATTTTAAGAAACCTCCATCAATATCTACCATAAACCCAACAATCATTGGAGTTAAACGGTGTACCAACTGTTGGCTATCGTATCTCAGAAGCCTCACCTTGTATGTTTCATGTCAACCAGGTTTTCTCAAATGATCTAGTTACCTTCTGGAAATTAAACCATTTGCTATATAGAAAATTTCTCCATTTAGTTCCATAATTTACATGGATTTCATTTGATTTACCGATATGTTGATGATTTTAGATGGTTAGTTTCCATAGAAAACCTGCTAAATTCCCAGAGACGTCACCGCGCAATTCACATCCCATCCCTGCCCACCGGGTCACGGCGTTGGTGAGCCGAGGACGACTTCAGTACATAACGACTTTGGAGGCCGACTTTGTGATCAATTTACTTATGAAATGGCACATTTTATGACATTTTATGGGATGATTGGGATGAAGATCCGCAACTACTAGCTATTTTGGTGAACAAAAGGGTAAGCGTGTAAGCCATAGATTCTATAGATATTCCACCTGTCCCGGTGGAGCGAGCAGATGTCTTTGGCCGACTGGTCAGGTGACACCCAAATTTAATAAATGTCGTTTGAAATATAGATATCCAATATTGTATAATGTTGGATATCTGAATATTTCACGGTGGTTTAGTGGTGATAGAACTCTGCACCAAAAAAAACAACCAATATTTTCTGAAGATGTCCTCATGTTTTTGTTGCAGGACATGCCCCTTCCTGACAACCATGTACTGTCAATGGTGGAAGCAGGAGCCGTGGATCCCGTTGATCGTGGATGTGGCTGGCTCATGTTTTATCAACCTTTCACCAGGGTTGCTCCAACCAATTTTTGGCCCATGATTCCCAAAGGGGAGGAAATGGTTGATTGTACTCTTTATCTTTATTATTTAGTCCATGTTACCATCCAAATGTAGGATGTTGGCAGTAAGCCACTTGACTTCATTCTTTGAAACCCTGCACCTATACCACGTACGTTTAAGCTGTGCTTTACGTACTGTACATCTGACTAAATCCTCATGATCTCATGCTCGGTACTGCCCCACAGGAGGCGCAGCGTCTTGGACCTGTAGTTTTTTTTGCACCTCCATCGAAGGGGTCTGGAGCTTAGCCCCACAGACCTGAACGTTTCGATATCGGTCATGGGGGTAGAAAAACGGGATGGCGACACATTCTTTTTTATTGCGGTTTAGCCAAGAAAGTTATGGGAACATGAAACCAACCAGCAGATATAATTGATATGATGGGATATGATGGTGGTTTCCTACATGGGGGACCCTAAGTCATCATTCATCCACTTGATTGGTCGAGAATGAGAAAGGAATGGTGATCCATGGCGCACCATGGCGCACCTTAATCTGGAGAGCCACCATTGAAAGACATGGATCAAAACATTATTCAAACACTTGGATATCCAAAAAAGTAAAGTCTGACCTAAATCACAGGACATTACATACTTCAAGACCAGTCAATCTGTTTCTGCACCAGTTTGTTTTTCGGATCTTTGACCCATCCTCATATTGAAGCCACGTGGTTCGAGCCTGAGGCGCATGCTGGGGCTCAGTACACCACGCTGGAAATTGGGATCCCCGGAGGCCTTTTTTTTTTCGGTGAAAACACCCCGGAGATCAATGGGATTTAACGGGATGTACACCATACCCTCTGGTAAACTAACATAGCTATTGAAAATGGCCATTTATAGTGGATTTTCCCATTAAAAATGGTGATTTTCCATAGCTATGTTAAATTACCAGAGGGTACACCATAAATGGCGAGGATTGATTAAAAGATATTTAAAAAAACCCATCGTATGGTCCCAAGTATGTGGAATTCCTCTACTAAACCATGGTTTCTGGGGGTGGTGTTAATATTAATTAGGGAAACATTTTGAGATATTTTGAGATGTCACCAGATAATTTCTGCGGAGTTTGGCGCTGCCTGATATGTTGACATGCCATGACATGCCCCAAAGACTTAAAGAAGCAGTGATTTCTTTAAAGAAAGAACATGTGTTTAGAAAAACACATCATGTTTTCCGGATCATTGAGGTTTCTCAAAGGGAAACCCACAGCGTTTTCTGCATCTTTGGTCGTTTCTGTGGTAGCCAAGTGTCAGTGGAAGCATGTTTCAGCCGCCGTCCGCTTGGCCACGCCGCAGAAATGATGGGTTTCGATGTGGGAAAAGATGGCAAAATACATCAGACTTGGAGTTGTTTTGAGTTGTCCATACTGACTTCACGTGATTTTGTCTGCTTGGCACTGCTTGGCATGTCCGTATTTCGACCTTGCACCTCATTGAAGATTACCGCATGATGAAATCTCATGCCTGACTCCGATGAAGGGAAGGTTGGTGTTTTTGCACCGAACTACACTTGAGCTGAAAGGCGGTTTGGAATCAGCTTGGAATCAGCTTGTGCGAAGAGATGACGGAGTCTCATCGGTTCAGTGAATGACCCAAGCTTTTTTTGAACAACCACGAGTCATTGGCCTTGTATTCCTTCCACGGGGGTTGCTAGAAATCCCAACAGACTATCTCTGTCAAGATACTGGAACCTTGACCTGCTGCGACCTGGTCTGTTTCAGAAACATCCCATTTGGAAAAACATTCATTTTGGGCTTGAAATGGTGATATTTGTGGAGAGTCAATTCATGTCAATTCATGTCAATTCATGTCAATTCATGTCAATATCATGTCAATTCAGTAAATCTGAAGATCTGAAGGTGCTTGCAAATTCTTTGTTCCATTTGTTCTTTCTTAAAAACATGATATAAACTTGGGTGCCTTGACTGCCTTGACCACCAGCCCAGTCTGGAGAGAGTCTACCAATGCTGACCATGGTCGAAGGATGAACATTTTTAGCACTGAGGTCGCTATTGTTCTGTGAAGTTTCCTCTACACTTGAGCTGAGACCATGGGTCAGATGAGGTTGAATTGTTTCATGTTTCGGTGTCTTCTCATGCTGTTCGGCACAGACTTGCTCGAGTTGTTTCATGTTGTGTGTGCGCTGTGCTCTGCTCTGATGGAATTGTTATCATAGTCTTTACATTATGATACATATATGGTTCTATAGATTCATGACGAAGTCATCATGATGCTGATGATCATCGCCAGGGCCCCCCAATCATCAATCCTTTCCTCGACTCTATCACCGTTGCCATTCGCGGTGCCGGAGGCACTTTTCAGTTTACTGATCAAGTACACAATGCAGCCAGACTCAAGGCGCACTCACTGGGGGCACAGCAGCCACATCCAGGCGTAAATAGGATCCTTGTCTGAAAACCAACATGGAAAACCTGAACAAATTCTCTGACCTAGATATTGTAGATGATATTCCTTTGGTTTCTTTCCCATTGTTGAGGGTTCCACATGAAGTCAATTTGTTTTAGCTTCGGGTCATGTCCATTGATTTACAATTTGTCACGAGATGTAAGAGTCATATGTTTCAAAATGTCTCAAATGCCAGAACATCAGTACTTAACCATCTGGAAATGCATTTCAACTAGTACTGATGGAACTTTTCAAATGCCAGAACTAGCTTCCTTAGATTTCGATCAGTACTTCTCAGATGGATGTCATGGAACTAGAAGTTCCTGTCACTCCAGCGCCCCATGAAGTGGGCGCAGTTCATATGTTAAGCCAGGTCTCTATACTATACCCCGTATGCTCCATGGTGCTGGCATATTTACCTACATAACTGGTTGATTTTGGGGCAAATGTTGGTAAATATTCCAGCACCATGGAGCATATGGGATATATACATATAGTATACATATAGTCAAAGCCAACACAGAATTGATTGAATTGATCATAGGTAGCAGGTCACATTCTCAAGATTTTGTGAATTCGATGTTTTTTTCGGAGACTGTGACGCAAATAAAATCCAGTTATAAACTGTTATAAGTTGTGTTCCCCATTTAAATATAGGATATGACTGGAAAATCCAGTGATAATCTTCCCCCATGTCATCATTGACCTCAGCTGCACCAGGTGGTGGACAATACCATGACGGAGCCGCAGGTGGAGGGTGCGTATCATTTGGAGAGAATGAAGTCGAGATTTCAGAAGTTCTGGTTGGTTTCTTTCACAGATTCTTGGATATGTTGAATATTTATTGGTTTTCTCTGTCATGTGGGTCATTCTGAGTGATGCAACAAACACAACACGCATGGAAGACTGGTAGCGAGACCAACGAACTACATTGAACTACATGCAGATATTTGCTGCAATGGGAAGTCCTTCTTGTCTGAATCAAACACTCCAGAATTGGTGATGTCATCTTCGCAAAATATCGAAGTATCACCAGATTTGGATAGATTTGGGGGATATGACTTTGATATGACCAACAAATTCAGTAATGTGGGAAAACCATACCATAAACCAACCATTTGGGAATGGTAAACATACCACCTATAAAAAAATCTGATGACTGGGGGATGGTGCAAATGGCATTGTTTTACCCACATTATTTCAAAAGCACAGAAGCCCCAAAGAATTCCATCCCCTCCGTGTATCAGGCGCGTGATGGACAATGCCAAGCCGGTCAGCCTTTGGCGACCTGGCTCAAAAATTTGGATGAGAAATCACACTTGATAAGTGCTTTGTAACCCATAGTAATCTGTATAATCATATATATATAAGTGGCTTATTATATGGTTATTTCTATATCTATATAACCGCCTTATATGATCCTATATGTCATATCATTGTTATAATATGAACATACGATACATGCTATAACATTATTCATAAGTTGCCATTTACAATTGGTTAAAACACGGTATACCCTACGAAATCCCAAAAAAAAACATGGGTTTATGCGTTACCGCGGGTCCTAAGTGGGATGCTCCACTGGTGGATGTTGGTAGGTCCGAGCCATGGTTCAGAGGTGAAATTCTTCGGTGAAACGGTGAGAGAACATGCTCAGAACATGGCTATTTTCAAGAAGATATTCTTTCGGGAAAGGCTTGGACTTTGAACTTCTCAAGTTGCTTTCGGAACCCCTCCATTCAATTTCGGGAAATCCCTGGTCAACACTGCAGTTGCTTCTAAATGTTCTGTTCTTCTCGATTATCGTTTGATTTGGGGCATGGCTCCCACTTAGTCAACATGGTTTTGTCTGAATATAAGCTATAATTAGCTCGGATTGCCTCAAATCACATGGTTTGTTGTACAAATTGCCCAATTCAACTTACTATAAATTGGGTTTTCCTCCAGTGACATACTCAAATTTCACATTGTTGGTGACATATGTAAGTTACAGAAGTCTTCTACACCCCAAATGATACTGTGGTTGGACAAAATCCTGCACCAGCTGGTAACTATTGGGATTCCTATGAAGCACGTAAACACTGAGGGATTATCATGGGATTTCTTCCATCTACCTATGACTATCCAATAACAATCTCATTATTTACCATTATAATCCGATCCCATATGTATATATAATATATATATATACCACATGATAATCCCATTAATCATCATAATTCCATTATGTACCACTATATTCCCATGATTTCGTATAGGATCATAATGGATTATAGCATTTATTCCACATGATCTCATGGCATGACCAGCTCCTGGTGCAGGTCGCCGAAGCTTCAGAGGTTGAGAACACCTGGGGTCAGCCCTTTGGGTGTCTGGGCTGAAATCGGGGGAGGGACCCCAGAAAATGTCCGGGGATCCATACACAGTGGCCATTTCAGGAACCGATCGGAGGTACCTACCATACATAAGGTCGAGTTTTTTGAGGGCTATGTGAGATCTACCCACCCAAAATGTTGGGCTTTGTATGGTGCAGTAGCTCTAGTGCAGGGTACCTATGGTACCTGAGTTATGGCCATCGATATATAGCCATTGATATAGCCCCAGTTTTTTATGCCATTTGAAGAGGGAGAATGATGATCATGTCCGAGAACGAATAAACCTGCGGACCAGGATCACAAAGCGCAGGGAAGGTCATCAAATTTTGGTTCATGAAATTCACCGGTTAACGCTTTTTTTTGTTCGGAAAAAAAACGCGCAACTATTGGTCAGTCAAGCTATTTCAACCATCCCATTTTTGGGGAGTACCAATGATCACGGAAAAGCCATGGATGTCTAGTGATTAAATGGATAGCGATATATGAAGTAATGTGGGACCCCACCCTTTTCAACCAGAAGTCACTGTTTGAAACGAAATCTATGAGCGCGTCCCTGGCAACTGAAAAAAAAATCTTCATCTTTTGTCCCTGTTAGGATCCGTTAGGGTCCAGGATGGTCCAGGGGGAAGTTCACCTGTTGATTTCCACGCTGGTTGGTGGTTTCAGATTCCCATGATTTGTTTTACAGAAGTGAAATTATCTGGGTAAATTATAACGACCTCACTACGACCTCACTGGAAATCATAGTTAGTAAGGGAAATCATCCCAAAATGGCCTTATTTCAGGTTAGTGAAATATTCTAATTTACCCAGAATTATGCACCCTCACAGTCTTTGCTGCTAAAGTTCGAGTCCTAAAGATGCTCCCTGATACCAACCCAGTGGCAAGAATAATTTCCAGATGAAGTCTGACTTCAGGTGGCTTGGAGGACACTATCAGTTATCCAGAAAACAACAAACAATTCCATATGCGAACCATGGTGCTGGTATATTTACCATTCTTTACCTACATAACTGGTTGATTTTTGGGGCAAATGTTGGTAAATATTCCTACATCCCATGGTGTGGGAACAGTGGTAAGAATGGATCAGCCGTGGACACCATCTGCCCAGGTCAGCCACCACAGTCGTGGGCTCGGGGCCTCAGGGACAACTTTCAAGACACTCAAAGTATACCTATTCGAATAGGTCAACGGTAACCTATATACCATGGTTTATTAATTAGGAGTACTACTCCAATATAGTCATATTTAATATTCATTACCCTCTGGTAAACGTTTACATAACTATGGAAAGATCCACCATTTTTAATGGGAAAATCCACTATAAATGGCCATTTTCAATAGCTACGTAACAAATTACCAGAGGGTACTAAATGTGTTGCTTTAACATCTTTTTTAAATAGGTCAACGGTCACTAAATTTGTTGTGTCAACATACTTTTTTTTAATAATTAGGCCAATAGAGTTTGTGGTATAGTACAATTCCATAGAATTCCAAGAATACCAAACTATGCATATCACGCCATATATCTCCCTATAATTAGCAGCAATTAACCAGCAACTATACTTGACCATAGTTTTCTCATGTTTTCTCTATCATTTGGATGACCTACCAGCATGACCATCAGCTTCAATTCTACAGATTTCACAGGTGCAGATACCCTTCGAGCCGATGATGCGCTAGTCTTCAGGATCGGCCGGGGGCCACCGATGCGTAACGAGCCTTCAGTGTCATCAAACATTGGATTTTCCCACTGGGAAATCCTCCACAAAAAAAGGGGGCTTTTGATATGTCTTGATGAGAAAAATTCAACGGAATTCAACGGATCTAAATGGGAGATTCTCCATTGCCATGTTCGATGACCGGAGGCTATGTCCTGTGCCAATGCCACCCCGAAGGTATTGATCCGTCCCAAAGCTCCAGTGAAAGAATTGTCGCCTCCAGCGAAACCCCGAATTTTGAACGTCTGAAACTTTCTTTGGTTAGTGTTAGTTGTATTTTCCATCCACAATGATGCTCCCAAGTGATTTGAACATAGAGAAGGCTGGGCGGCAACAAGATAACAACCTGTGATGTATGATCTGGAATTGTTTGAAAATAGGATACCACAAAATTCCATGGTATATTATATGGATTAATTATATTGGTATATCAGAATTCATACACACCTGAATCATAGTACTGTTGGTGAATTATATCCAACTACAGCCCATTGAATACCACCCAGAGAGTACGATAAAGTGGTGTGTTTTCCTGACATTCATATCTTATTGGATATCACAAAAGTATTCCACCATGTGACTCTGTGACTCTGAAACCAATCAAGGCTATGTACCATTGGGTAAATGTGCCGTGAACAGACGTTGATCGATATACCCACGTTGGGGGATGGTCATCATATCCCTTATCAGCAATCCCTTTCATGATAGGGAAATGACCATACCCCAATAGTGCCATGTAACTTGACCATGGTCAATGGCCATTTCAGGAACCTAAATTGGAGCTACCTACCATATCTAAGGCATTTTTTTGGGCCTATGTAAGGGACTATCCCAACAATTTCCCATTGACATGGCACCTATGTATATAATTTCAATCCTGATCTCTCCCATCACATCCCATTACATTTCACATCATTTTTTTTGGGATAGAAAAAATGTGGCTTTTCCAACCAGATATCCAACATGGCGGCCCTCCATAGTTATGTTTGTATATGTTTGTTGGTGGCTCTTAACCGTCTTAACCCCGTTTGTTTATTGTATGACACGTTCGTTACGTTTACCAAGTCTACCATAAACAAAATTTGCACCAACATCTTGCTATGGCGATCTCCCACCAGTGATGCTTCAGACACTCCCAGGATGGGCGGCAACTACCGCGTCTGTTACTCTGCCAATGGCACCTTTGGTTTGCTACAGGCAGATATCACGTGCGGAGCGCCCAGTTGAACAACAGACCAGTTGTGATTTGTTATATTGATACAATGACTGGCAATATATCCAATAACTACTAGCTAATACTGTAGATGGACGAAATATTCAAACCCCTTCTATCCGGTACAACCCCCTCGCCCCCAAAGTTCAACGTTAATGAAACCTGAATTGCATTAGCCCCAATGTACGAAAGAAATCAAACCCCTTACATCACTTTTGGCAACACGCGCGCTGAAACATTGAGATTTGGGGGTGCGGGGGTTCAACATAGTGTGTGTTGCAGGCTTTGAATATGTTGTCCATCTACTGTACCACTCTAACTATGGTAATATCATATCACTATTATTAGGTAGTGCCATTTGTCATAACTAAGCAGTGGTGGCTAATCCCCCGTCAAGACTGGCAGTCAATTTCTCAAGAAAAGGGCATGGGAATAATCAATCCATGTTCAGACCCACTATAGGGATTCCCAATATGGGTTGGATGACAATAAACCACATTTTTCGCATGTTTTGAATCTAGCACATATGTGTTGATCTATTTGCATTTGTTATACTATATATATATACATATATATATATACATATATATACATATATATATATATACATATATATATACATATATATATATACATATATACACATACATTATACACATTTGGTTGGTGGCTTCAAGATGGTTCATGGTTGATTTTTTGAGGCACCTGAACCAGGAACCCCCCATTGGGATGATGGAATCCAAGATGTCTCAGTGGATAGAAATGATAGAATCAGATGAGAAGATGATCTGATTGGTGGTTTGGAACATTTTTTATTTTTCCATATATTGGGAATAATCATCCCAACTGACTAATATTTTAGCCGTCATTGCTCAGGGTCCTGCCAGAGGTTCGGCCGCTTTCAACTGAAGCCCTGGGTAGGTACATTCGGTGCCGCAATGGCACTGGTGACTGATGGAGTTCATGTGAAGATTCTGTCGGTTGGTGCCACATGTTGTCACGTGTGTGTCAATGGCACATGTGGCATGGCAATGTTTCCAGAGAAGTGGTATGCAATGTTCCACAAAAACATGGATATCATTGTGGCTAACTTCACCGTTTCATGGAAGGATGGGGTTGTTAGCTTCCAGATGAACCAGGATTTGACAAAGATCTATTTGTGCACGTCAGAGAACAGAGGTAACCTCAATGCTGTTGAGCTCTTTGCAGGGCTTGGTGGATGGTCTGAGGCGGCTTCTGCCATGAACATGTCTCCCGTGTTGCTGATCGATTCCGATGAGAACGTCGCCTATGCCACAGCTAGGAAACTAGGAATTGGATGCATGAAATCTAAGGAGTATGTAGACAAGGTGCTTGAAACAGGTCAGGTGTTCCGATGTGTACTGCATGATGATGTCAATTGCCCTGATACGTGGGTCGCCATTGGCCTGGTAAATGTCTCCATTGTCCTTGGTTCACCGCCATGTCAGCCTTGGAGCACAGCCGGTGCTGGTCATGGTCTGCGTTGTCCGGATGGTCAGGTCTGTCGGTCGGTCTTGTCCCAAGCAGCCAAGTTGGGTGTCGTTCTGGCCCTCATTGAGAATGTACCAGGTCTCCCTAGGCACCAAGATTTCAGGGAGCTCATTTCCGAAATTGAGAAGTCGGGGTTGAAACTTGTTTTGCATGGTGTGTTTGATTGTGCGAGGGTCCTGCCTGTCCAGCGTGATAGATGGCTAGGAACTTTTGTGAATGAGAATGTGCCGATTGAGCATGCCCGGCAGTTCATGGCAAATTCAATCGCATTCACCGATCGCGCATTTGAGCCAGTTGCCAAGTGTCCCACCATTAGCCAAGCAGATGCCGAACAAGTCAACATGAGTGAGACTGAGCGTCGACAGTTGGTAGTGAGTGAGGATCTCATGAATATGATGTCCATGCTGGAGTATGCACCCCAATGGTTGAAGAACAGACTCCAGAAAATCCCAAACCCGTCAGCGGATCAGGTCCTGAACGCAAGAGTTGTCATCAATTGCCAGCAGTTCATTGGATTCATGGCCATGTATGGTAAGCAACATGAACTTCCCGTCGAGATGTTGAGATGCAAGGGCCTTCAAACCATGTTGTTCAGAGATGCCAAAGGTATCAGGTACATATCGCCGTGGGAGATGATTGCCAGCATGGGATACTCCAAAAGCACTGTCATGTCAAGTGATATTAGTGTTTCATGGCGTATGGCTGGGAACGGATTGTCGGTCGCCCATGCTTGGTTGCAATTGCACAAGACACATGTTCTCCTAGGCCCTTTGTCACCGTTTACTCCACAGGGTACACAGATCCAGCAAGTGGAGGCATTCCAAGCAAACGCAATCAAGATGTCTCAGTGGATCCCTAAAATCAATGGGCATTTTTGGGAGCTGGAGGAGATCCCCAATGAACCAGCGGCGAAGAAAATCAAGGTTGTTGATCAATCTATGAGTGTACCTCCAACCATCCCAGGAACTGTTCCATTTGAAATCGAGGAGGAAGATGTGGTGGCAACTAGTCACTTTGTACACATGCCAGAGTTTTCTCAAGTGAATGACCCACGAGGTGTTGCCGTCTTTGGTAATGAATATGGTGGGGGCATGGTAACACTGCAGCATTGTCAAAACAATTGGATCATGTTCGTCAACACCAACAACACTGATGCTGTTGGTAAGATCATTTGCAAAGCCTTGCCTCATGCCAATGAAAATCATTTTGAGAAGATTATGTTTGACAATTGCAGTGTCGCATGGAACCAATCCATCAATTGCAAACCCGTGAAAGTCCTGAGTTTTTGTCCGGTGTTCGCTGCAGTCACGTGCAGAGAAGAATCCCTGAAGATTGCACTCAGCCTGCAGGCTGATACCACGTGGACAGCCAAGGCAGCGATTGCCTACTCAGCTGTCAAGATTGGATGCAGTCCAGATGCGTTGGTGCTGACTTCTCAGCAATTGCCTGTGAAGGAGGATGATTACTTGTTCGGGTATCAAACCACGGAGTTCCAGCTGAAGTTTAAAGCGTGCTTGCCTGGGTATGTCAGCTGGGAACCTAGGAGTGCAGAAGTTGCAGATGTGGGTATGGCCCCTGTGCCATGCACTATGAGGAGATGGTTTGCACGTCACCCAACTAGGAAGGTCACAAGAACGGTCTGTGCCAAGCACAACACCAGTGTTGTGGAACTTGTCCAGCAGCTTTTTCCAGACATTCATGCTACAACTACTTGGAATGCCTTCCAAGGTGATGACGAGATTGCAGGATCGGCCAAGGTCAATGACTTTGAAAACATCCAAATCCAATGGAACGGTTTCAGACCGCTTCGAGTCACAGACATCAGCTGTGTCAGGCATCATGGTCGAGCAATTGACTCTCCGACTGTACAGCTGCTGTATGCAGGAACTGGTGTCAAAAGGCACATCCGGTCTCCATTCAAGATCCGACATGATGAGGTGACTGTTGCCAAAGACATCACCATCGCTGAGATTGCGGCTAGTTTCATGACAGTTGCGCAGTTGCAAGTCAGTATCATTTGTGTTCAGGGTTCAGTTGTGGTTGACCCCATGACGAGGATCGATGAAACGTCATCGGATGGTATCTTCACTTTTCGCATCTGTCCTTTGCTGGGTGGGGGAAAGGGGGATGCCAAGACAAGAATCACCGAAATGTTGAAAAGTAGAGGAGTTCCAGAGGACCGTGTTGAAGAAAGAGTCAAGTCCCTGTTCTCGAAAGTTTCGCCTGACAAATTCAAGCTCAGCCTTTCTGATGATGCGTTTTGGACCCAGGTGAAGACTGTTGCAAGTGAGAACAAATTTCGACTCATCACCCTGGATGAATTGAAGGCCTTCCAAAGTGCTAAACAAAAGAACAAACTCAAATCTACGGGAAGTGACACTAAGCCGAAGATCCAGACGGAACAGTTCCAAGTTGATGCAAGCAGGATCACAATTGACCCTTCTCATTTTTCAGCAGGTGGTGAGGCGGTTGCATTGATCGAAACTACAAGGTTTGGCCGAGATCAATCGGGAATGTGTGTAGTCAACTCTGCAGATGCTAAGAAATGGGCAACCAATGGAGTCAAGAGCTGTGATCCACTGGCCATGTTGGTGGTTGGCAAGGGGTGCCATGAATTTGGTGAAGTCCTTAGCATTCCGGCGTACACATTGTCGGGTTCACCAATCATTGTCCAGGGGTGTTTGATGCAATTTGGAGATGTTCCCATCAGCTTTGATCTCAAGATCCCATCCGTTGTTGTTGACCAAGTTGCCTCAACGACCATTGAGTTTACGATCTTTCGGAACAATGTCACAAGCTGGGATGATGTTTCAGTACCTCTTCACTACATTGGTGTACATATCCCGGAACTTCGGGGATCCAATTTACTGGCAACATGGAGTATCAAAGCATGGAACCTACAACAGGTCACACATGTTTCCAAGGCCGACCACTGGCATGGGTTTTTTCGCATTGCTGACAACCTACTCTGCGCAGTGCTGGGTCGAAGTGGTGTGGCTGGGATCTTCCTGAATCCCAAAACCCCCGAACGAAAACACGATCCAAGATTTGTGACGATCTCACTTCCTAATGGGCACCTCTCTGAAGTTTTGGCGAAAGCAGAGACAACACCGAGAGCTCTTGGGGTTGCCAAAAGAGGCGAGGTCTACTGCATCCGATGCAAAAGGGAAGATGCTGATCAGTTGCGTGCAGCGTTGATGCCAGAAACTGCATACGTTGAGACAGCAAGCTTCTCTGATGAAGAAACTTTATACATTTTGTCAAATGTACCGCAGATCAATCGTGATGAGTTGTCCCTTGCATTAGGCCGCGCAGGTTGGAATGCCAATGCAATCAAACCCCAGGGAATGAAGAAATGGCTTGTTGCGTCCAAACATGACCCACCAACGTGCCACTTAGGGATCAACGGCATGATCGTTGTTGTTGAGAAAATGAAAAAACATGGTACCGCTTCCCAGCCGGTAACTATGGTAGCAAGGGAGT